ATTTCTGTAGTATTTTACTGATCACATCTACTCTTTATTTCTCCATGACGTTTTTTAAAAGATATCCCTGTGGATTAACATGTCTTTCCTTCTTTTGGTTTAACTGATCAAAGATTAAGCACTAACCTTGATTTTTCAATTTATTTGCTAGTTGAACAAAAGGTCTTTGTTTCCGGATGTGGAGGACAGCATGCACTTCCCACAGAGCAAGTGAAAGACCATCTCCCATTGGCTTATAACAGGATTAAGGAAACTAAACTCCATGTATACTTATGGGGGATGGGTGGTCTCTGAGAACAGTAAAAGCTACCACTCCTTTTATGTCACTGACCAAAAATCTGAATTTGAGACAAGCCAGATGCAGAGTAAGTTGTCACTAGTGTTTCACGAAGTCTCAGTTCTGTTCTTGGAAAAACTGGTCTCTGCCACAGGATCTGCCATTTATCCTTATCGACAGCTTCAGAGGGGCCAGAGGCAGATGAATTTGTTTACGTCCCAGGGCACCTTGCCTTGCTGTACCTGACCTGCGTATAGATTGCAGGCAAGTGCATGGGAAAGGTCTGTCCATTTGACACCTATAGAACCTTCATCTGGAAGGGAGAGTGTCATGTAGTGTGTATCGTCAGCACCATCTGTTATGCACTTTCCCATATAGGGATGTCTTAGATGCTTTTCCCACCTTCTCCCCCACTACCTGTTGATAAGAGAGAAGGTCTTTGGGGGCTTTCAGATTAACCTTTCACTAGTCATGTATTGTATGTTTCCCAAAAGCACTCTGCAGTGAAGTCCTGCTTTGGGGAACCCCTGATGTTTAGCTTGTGAAATGAGACATTTCATTTAACTGTATGTTCTGCCAGAGGAATGTAGCTCTGCTCAGAGCAGATCGTTGTGTGCAGAAGAGGGAGCCCATGGAGAAGTGAGCTGGCCTTTAAGGCAGATGCTAAAGCACAGAAGCAAGCAGGTAACACGGTGCTCTGTTAGTTTGAGCTGTACATAGCGCTTCTGGAGGATTAAAAGTTAGCAGTGTGTTTGGTGTTCAAAGAGAAGGCCATCAGTCACCCACACAGTGGTTCTCTTGGATCCCATAATTAAATCTCTGCAATTTAGTTGGCTACTCATCTACTGAAGAACAGTTTTTGATACTGAGGGGGTAGCTCTTCTTTGACATTGCTGAAAAGTTCTCAGTGTGTGTGTGTAGGGAGAATAAATGCTTTTTCCTTGCCTTTTTGGGCTTACAAGAGTAATCAGAAGCAGATGTGACAGGTATTCAGCAGAGTGTATTTGAGCTAACTTAATTAACTTTCTGGATTCATACACATTGGTGTAATTGAACTGTGGCTCTCTGTACTGTTACACTTAGGCATGTTTCCAAAAATGGTAGGAGTTTTAATGATCAGTAGCTGAAACCTTGAAACTAATTCAGAATTTTTTAACTGGGGGCACAAAACATTTTTCATTTCAATTATGGCACACTTCATGGACTCAGACTTCTTTGTCTGCAGAAGGATGGTTGGGCGGTAGTGTTCAGCCTTCTGACCCCTCTAGAACAAAGGCATGAGGCAGTTGTGCTTTGCCTAATGCATCAATTTATCACAAGCAAGTGCAAGAATTGTTTTGAATATCAAAAGAAATCGCTCACTGTTTTCTGTGACCTGGTAAAGCAGTACTAAGGGAGGAAAAAAATTCCAAGATTAAAATATAGAATACTCTAGAAAATTAGATTCGTTGGTGACACCATTCCTTACGAAGTTTAAAAGAGAGATGCTATTTTAGTTGAAGATTTAAAGCTTGCACACCTCTGATTTCCTCTTAAATACAATGTATTTTCTTTTCCTCAATAGAATCAATTTAATGTAATGTTATTCTTCCTATCTACTTAAGCTGAGGAAGCATGAGGTTTTGTATTTCAGTAATGAAGAAGAATGTTTCAGGAGGTGTATGAGGTATAGTATAGCAGGGGGAAAACTGATAAGACTTTAGTAATCTCTCTTCCTTTCTGAAGTGTTGGTATTGCGGTCAGGCTTACTGTAGAGGCCTGTCTTCTAAAAGCTGTATGCCATGGTTTTCATTCAACCACTTGTCATTGCTGTGGCTGAATTTGTGGGGTTGTTTTCAGTTGGGTTTTGGTGGAATTTTTCTTGTGGTGTTGCAAAATCAATAATTAACCGCTGTAAAAGCCAGTTGGGTTGTAGACTGTGTTCTACACTGAATTGAAAGTGAGGGGAGTTTAGTTTTCCAATAAACAATCCTTAAGTTTTATTTCAGTAAGGTTGAAGCACTTTCTTTGAGCAACACACTTTCATTCCAGAATGAAGGCCTTCAGAAAATGTTTCATCAAGAGTTGATTAAATTGACATTCCTGACAAACATTGTGATTTCACTAATTCAGCATTTTCCAGTGGAAAACTACTCCATCAGAAATTTAAACCAGATCCGGTAGCTAGCAACACAGACACTGCCTGATTCTTTAGCTTTTTTTCTGGTAACTTCACAGGCATTTAAATAAAATTACTCTTGCTTCTATGTAAGTCCTTATTTTCTTCTGAATCACAAAGTGACTTAATGAAAGATTTAATTATTTAGGTGTTGATGCCAGAGAATTCAAGGAAATAACGCACAAATTCAGGCATGAGGTTTTGTAACTCCCACAAGATGAGGAAAAGAATTTTGCATTTAGCAATGTTCGCAAATGGATTTTAATACTGTTTCAGAATAGATTGAGACTGTGGAGGTTATTTGACTATGTATGCATGTTTTTGAGCAGGCTTAGCTTTAAGCTATGGTGTAAATGTGTTTGGGACTAAAGTGAATTAAAGCAAGACAAAGCGAGTCAGGACTAAAGGACTGGATGTCAGTATGTGTTGGTCTTATCTATATGTCTTCTAGGTAATTTTAATGATTAGTGTTTGGGGATTCCTTTTTACAGAATGAGAGATATATCATTTACTGTAATGTGGATTCATTTCAGTAAAAAATGCAAGCAGAAGGGGTGCAGTCACAGCTTAAATAGTGGAGATTCAGTAAACTGGTTCATTTCTAAAAAGCAAATATTAAGAGGAAGTATGCTTTTGTGCATTTTTTGAAAAGCAAGCCCTTATTGCGTCAAAGGTAAAGCAACTACCTAAAAGCTTTAGTTTAATGGTCCATAGAATGGGAAACATTAAATTCACTTTAGCATTTATCCCTCTAGTGTTTCCAAACACAGGTCCCAGTTCTGCCAACACTTCGTGGATGTTTAAAGTTTAACAGATGAAAAATCCCGTATGTCTGTCACAGGAAAATAACAGAATATTGATTTGCAGGAGTCCTGGGCTAGAAGAGAATTCTTTCCAAATTAAGTTGAAAGTACTTGTGCATACACCTGTGTATGGAGATCAAGGTGGATATAGGACCGTTAATGTTTTCCTGTGGATAAAAAAAGAAGGGGAATCCAAGAACCCTACCACCACCACAGGGTCTCCCCTATCATAACATGCTTACTTGATTTTAATAGTTCCTGCAGTACAATACCAGCATAGGGAATTTGCCGATTAAGAAGGGAAGAGATGGAACGGGGAACTTTTCTGAGTTAGCGTGGGTTGTGAATACTGATGCCACCTGACAGAAGGACTGATTTCTGTAAGTGGAGGGTGATTTTATGTGGTAGATATAATCAGTGCATCACTAACAGATGAGTGGCACTGCTAGAAAACAGCCTAGAATATTTCAGGCAGGAGGAAGTAGCTGAAGAGATTTCTTGGATTCGGAAAGCAGAAGTACTGAAAATGCAAGTAATGTCTGTTTGATCATCTTGCCTCTGATGCAACTGCTAGATGTTTCCCTTTCATTCCCTAAAAAGTCGAAAGAAAACCAAGACGACTACTGCATTCTTGCAGTTTCTTACATTGAAATCCTTTTCCAGGAGATGAAAAATGTGGCAGTTTACACAGCGTTAGACTAAGACCCTTGAAGTGCCCCAGTGCCCCCTTCCCTCCCTTCCAGTTTGTAGGATCTGCAGCATTTGGCAAAGTATCAAAAACTTACGGAAGCCTTTACATAGGTCAGTACCTTTGGGGTTACTACCACTAGTATCCAGTAAGGCTGAAAGTAGCGTAAGCAACACTATTTCTCTGCAGTGCTTTTGTAGCTTATTCTGAAGCACAGACTACTGTTGACTCCTGCCCTGTAGTATCACATTCAACTCTTTCCTTCTGTCTTTCAGAACTCAGTATATTGCCTGCACTCTGCTGCATATTCCTGCCCATTTTCACCCTGCCGTTTGACTTAGTGTCGTGCTACCTCGTGCCTACCAGTTCTGCGCAATCTGTCATCTTACCTTCCGTACTTTAACAAGCCTTGCAAATAAGCAGCTAAATTAATCTGTCTTTGAAGCTCTCCTCTTTCTAGTAATTCCTCTTGCTACCTATTGATCAATGCTCAATGCATCCCTCTCCATATTTATTGCTGTGTATCTTCTTTTGTTTGTGTTGCTTATCTGGTATTTAAATTATAACAAGGTAAGGACTTTGCCCTCTTGCTTTGTGTAGGTGCACGGTGTGCTGAAAATGTTTAATATTGTGTCTTATGTTAAAATGTGTGAGCTCAAACTGTCAAGAGGTATCTTACTAAGTCGATAAATGGAGGAGAACCCTGTATTTAGTCTGGTGTTAGTTTCATTTGTGTATCTATATCAAGTCTATTGTGCTGGAATGGAACTTTAAGGGATGTTTGTTTGTCATAGGATATATCAAAATAATGACTGGAAACAGTTACATTTTCTCTGGAAACTTTGACAGCTGTTTCCTGGCCCTAATTGAGGGTATTTTTTGCATTCTTCGTATTGTGCACTACCGTCCATGAAAAGTGGAAGTAAGTCATACTTAGACTAACTGAAGTTTGTAGGAATATTTTTCCCATTCAATATTGAAGGGTGTCACTCACTGACGTTTTTTTCCTTCTGGTCTAATTTGAATGAATTGAGTAAAGGAGAAGTTAACCTTTGTTTCTGTATATCCTTGCAGACTTCACCATCTAGAGATGCCTCCTTTCCATATAAAACTCAGTTACCATGTATGGTGCCAGCCTCAGCTTTAAGCAATAGTGAGTACAGCGCAGAATCTAAAATACTAGATTATGTGCAAGAGCTGGACTCTTCCTTCCATCCGGTCTTATCATTCCCTTCAGGTAAGTGACGCCATGACTCTAACAGAGGTTGGTTGTGCTTGGGAGAGCTGTAGAGTTTATGGACTAACTTTTCTTTTGAGTGATTTTAGAACTTAGTTCTCTTACAGAAAATCTCACGCTGGCAAAATGCATGAGATTAGACTAAATAAAAATCTTCACTTCATTCTGGCATTTGAAGAACACATATCCTAGATTTCCCATACCAGTAATGTGATTACATCCAAGAAAGACTGGTCAGGGAAAAGGTGTTTTTTGCATATTTCATTATGTGTCTAACTGAGTCAGTGTTAGCCCTTTAGATGGTGCTTTTGCCAACACACTTGGTTGTGGTGTTTTTGTCAGCAGCTTTCAGTTCAGGCCTTTTGGACTAGGTTCAAAAAACTTTATTTAGGTTTTCTAATTGTTTTTGTGATAGTCATCCTTTTTGGTGATCTTTGAAGTTTATGGTTTCTGTCATCTGATTCTTTAATCTTTTTGAACAATAATGCAGATGTTTGTGACTCAGCTCTGAAACTAGTGCAGGTGCAACTTGACAGGACTTGGGGCTTCAAAATAGCATATTAAATGCTGTGATCAGCAGAAGGGATTCATTCTATTGGATTTTTTGCAGGGGGGGTATTTTAGGAAAAACCTATTACCATGTAGTTCCTGACCAGTAAAGGAATTCTGTTATGGGGGTCATCTTTGCTGCAAAATAACCCTGAACGTGAGACTGGGACTTGCATGGAACTGTTTAAGTCATTAATCAAACCCACTGTCTTCCCAGAATGACAGTGTAGACACTGCAGCCTGGTATTAGGAAGTCAGCAATTGAAGTAAGTCTTGGATTTGGAGAACTTGTCACTGGCCAGTAGAGAAGACCCAAGTGTAGAATCCTGAGGCGGCCTCAACTCTTGCAGGTTTACGAGGGTTTACATCCCATGTATGGGGTAAAGAGGAGATTATTTTGAGGAGCAGATAGAGGAAACAGAACACTCACTCCAAGAGTGCAAATAGCCCAGTCAGCAGGACTCTGTTGTGGAGAGGAAAGAAAAACACCTCTTAAATCTTTCTTCTTTACACATGCTCCCCATCACTTACCTTGTGACTCTGCCAGCCCAGCTGGACAGGAGCCAGCGGGGTTAGAAGTGTGTTCAAAGATAGCCACATAAGGCTGTGCCCCTTGCGTTCATTCTTACCTTACTCTTAAGGGAAACTAGAAAGTTTAACAAGAATATTGACATTTTCTTTTCTCAAAAAAAGATTAATCATAAAAAAAAAAAAGGGGGCTTTGGATTGCATTGTGGCTACTGTTGGTCACTTTGCCAGGATGGAGGAAGAATAATGTTATTTTAGCTTCATTCTGATAGCAAGAACATCTTTCTTTTGAGGAGTATTTATTCTCTTTTCAAGGAGCCTTAGCCTTGCTCATAATAGTTGAGACAGGACAAAAGTGCTAGACCTACTATCTCCTGCTCAGATACGGTCCTTGTTTTTGAGGGAGGCTAGATTCATGCTCTAGTCTCTGCTTTGTGTATTTTGCTGCCTCTACCTTCTCATGAAGACCACTAGTCTACTTGTCATTTTCTTTCCTATGAAAGAGTTGTTGTGAATAAATATTATTGGTATTTGTTCCATTTTGAAACTGTGGGAGTTTCGTTCTTCAGTGTGCGAGGAGGGATTAAAATTCAAGATTCAGATGATGTTCTCTCTTGTACCTGTTTTTTATTTTCAGAGGAGAATCATAATTTGCAGGCAACCTGGTAAGTATAGTGTAGTGGGACTCGCTCACTAGTGTAATCCTGGAAGCATAATTGTCCTTACGGTTCGAAGACTTTCCTTCAGAGTTTCCATATTACCGAGGGTCTTGACCAAAAATGTCAGTGGTTGCAGCATCCCTTGAGCATAAAAATGCCTCTTTAAACTTGCACCCCAATAACTGGAAAATTGTAGTTTGCATCTAAGTTTGGGTTTCTGGTATTTCTGCATCTAGTCTGTGGATAAACTGGAACAAACACTCCTGCCCTTTTGACTAAGATACAGGAGCGCGTAATAAAAAATCTCCAAGATATCCAGGTGGTTCCTCAGGGGAAAAAAAAGAGGAGAAATGTATGTTTTACTCAGAAGTAGAATAGGAAACACGGCAAAAACCCTGGGGGGAAGAGCCTTTTACAGGTCACCTTTAGTCTTGTGACAAAATGTCTGGTTAGATCCATATCAAATTGAAATAAAAAGTTCTTTTTAGTTAGCAAAATATGTTGACAGTTTCTGTCCAGGCAAGTCCTGAAGGCACATGAGGCTAAGGTGGTGTGTATATAAAAGTAGTTTAATGCCCACCCTTTGGCCTTGCCCTCAGTCCTTTCCTGATTCTGAGTTGTCAAGCCTGCTTCTTATGTTGACGTGTTTTTTTCTACTTAATTTCTCTTCTCTGTTGTAATTTTGTTCCCGGGAAGGCTTTTCAGACAGAGACTTATTTTTCTTAAGCCTTCCTGCCTTACAACAGTAGGTAAATTCCTTACCACTTGAGATGTTTTGCAGACTAATTCTTGGTTAGAACTCCCTCAGGAAATGAATTACATTGCCCCGCTGTAGCCTTTGCCTGAGAGAGAAAGAAAGAACGTACCTTGAAATTACCTTGAGGCTCCCAGCAGGAACAATTTACAAAAGCATTAATTACCTGTACCCAAAAGGCTGAACGGAAGGCTTTTCAGATTACAGGGAAAGTTCACTGTGTGCTCTCCACCGTGATGGGTTTTGTGCAGGAGTTAGTCAGGAAGGGAACACCCCAATCTTACTCTCACTTGATACCGTCCAGAGTTTATTTTCATGAAGAACAATTCTGGAGTAATTGCAGGTACTGTTTATTCCAGAGAAAGACAGTCTTGCTCTTTCTTTTGACTTTGAAGACCACAAAAAGTGTTGGTAATCTACAAAGTGTGTGTGCCTGCACTGGGATTTTTTCAGGACTATTCCTTAGAGTCCTACCTTGATCTGAATTGTCTTGTCAGCCCTTAGAAGCTCTTATGGCTGGAGAGCCTGGAACCCCTTAAGTGTACTGCCTTGGTCAGCACGTATGGCAGTGTAGCTTTCACAGCTAAAAATGGATTTGTTTTTACCACGGCATAACTCTCACCTCCCATTAATAGAAAGAGAGGTACCTTGAGATCTTACCTCCAGGCAATTACTGGAGATTATCTTTTATATGACTTACATAACCGCTAGAAAAGACTACAGGTCTTTGCCTGTAGCAGAGGATAGCACTCATACAATAACTATCTTGCTGAGAATTATCTTGCTTCAAATTTACTCATGCAATAATCACTACTTTGAAATGTCCGGCTGGGCTTTTTGGGGATATTGTCATTGAGTTTTCCTTTGGCTCTCACCAGTTTCAGTTTTCCTATATTCTCTTCAGCTTGACGATGTGAAGACACTGCTGCTATAGAGACAAGTGATCGGTCTTCACAGGAGTTACTCAGCACTGCCATTCCTCATGAGTTGAAGGACTTAAGGCAGCAATATTGCTCATAGTTTATATTGCACAGTGGTGTGTAATCGATTCCTAGACCTTTAGTGATGATGCATAATTCATGGGCTCATGAGTTGCCATCTTTCTGATACAGACTCTTTGGATTTTTTTTATTAGATATTCCTCTTCACATATACTTTGAAACATTATTAAGGAGGGATGACATCAAAGGAGAACCTGTTGATACCTCATCTTTGGGAGTGGATTTTAAAATATCTCCAGACAATGGTATGTAAAGCAAAATATTTTGGTATTTGCAAGACATTTTTTCATTCATTTGCCAGTACTTTCTGTCCTGAAGAGGTTCAATTTATAAATTCACCATAAAGCAGGTTATCAGAGAAGGTAACCGGCTAAGGCTTTAGGAGTAAGAAGAACCTCTTCCCAGACCACAGTGTCAGGTTCTCCTTTGTTACACTGAAGTGACCCCATCAGAGCCATAGGAGGGCACTAATAACTGGGCGAAGTTTGGACCATGGGTGCTTGCAGACATGCGTGCCTGACTGCAGTACTGTTTACTGTTTGGATTCCTATGAAAAGACGGGCGTGTTTTCCATTATAAATGCTTCAGTGGTTGAAACTGCCTATAAATTGCACCAATGGAAAATAAGTTTTTAACTTGATACATGCTTTTCCTGTTGTAGACTATAATCAACTTTCTGTCAAACAATGGAGCAGTGGCTGTTTATCTAATTCCAAATCTCAATCGGTGTCAGGAACATCTGACCAGCTGTCAGAAGGAAGAAAGAAAAGACATCTAAGTGAGACAGCAGTAGGTAAGAGAAAAATAGTATTAAGATGGCACTACTTCTTCAAAAATATGTGCTGTATGAATTAGTTTGTTATCACTGGGCTTTTAGAATTAATTTTAAGTTGTCTCCAAAAAGGATACTGTATGAAACTTTACAGGAGTTAAGGAATGGACTTATGGCACCATGAAAATAATGTGTTATTTTAAAGCATAGTAATCTTTCTCTTACTTCTTGAGTATATGTTAGAAAAAGAGACAAGCTTCTGTATTTTATTTTTTGAATACCCTTTAAGGAAACTGCTCAGCAGTCCAGCTGTGTTTTTCTAATACTGGGTGTCACTATTTTTAATATGAAGGTTTTTTTTAATAATAGTCAGTGAAACTTTGAATTGCAAAGTTATCTGTCAAATCATGTGCCCAACCAAACATTTACTATTCCTGGCATCTGTGGCCAGCTATGTTTTCATTTGTTGTATACTGTCATTTGTGGTTCTGGTTTCTTTCCAGACTGTTAAGAGGACTTGTGGGTAGTCAGTGCTTATAATTAGCGTTTTCACCCTTGTTACCTTTGTATTTTAAGCCATTGAATCTCTACTTCGGCACTTGGAAAATTAATAGAAAGCCCTGAAAGTTCTGTAGAAAAATGTGATAAAATGTGACAAAAAATTGGGCGTACCATTCATTGTAAAGATAAATAGCGTCTTATCTTTCCAGGCTATTAGAATATAAAACCTAACAGATTCTGCTACAAATTTGTTTATTTGTGACCTTCTGGAAAATCTTTGCCAAAATTCCTCACAAGACCTTTGAAGAAAATAAATCACTGAGTAAGAAAACAAACTATATAGTTTAAAATTTCCCCTAAGAAACAATTTAAAGATATGAATGATTGGTTAACATTGTGGAAAAACGTCCTTCTGGTGCATATCCAGGTAAAACTGCTAGTGTAATCTTGCAATAGAAGTGGAGCTGTGGGAATTACTGCAGAGATTATTTAAACAAAAATTATGATCAGTTAAAAAAACCACAAACACACACACACACACAAACCACCCCCCCAAAATCACAGCCCAAAACCAGCCAGCAACACAACCCCAAACCAAAAAACGTATTGATTAGGAAGTTAGGGGAGAGGTTTTGCACAGACTGAAAACTGTCTCTGATTTAGATGAAGTTTTTTTTTCTCTGCATCATTCCCCCAGTGCATTACGGTCCTCCCCCTTGCTGTGCAGCCTTCTCTTTTGCTGTGTGCCTGTCTCCTCGGGAGGTGGGATCCTTTTCTCCATGCCACCCGTTCCCCTAACCAGTCACTGGCCCCCAAAAGGCGGATGCGGCCACGTTGTTTCCCTAAGCGTACCGTCATGCACGCTGAGATCAACAATTGGACTTACTTGGGAGCACTAGTAAGAGAGAAAACTTCTTGCTATAAACCTTTTGAAGTTATAATTAGTCTTCTGCCAATAGTATTTAGTTCTTTTGAGTTAATAGAACAAAAAAGCAATCTTTTATCACAAGGATCATAGTTTCCCAATGCCAGAAAACTGCTATGGGGTGTATTTGTGAGCAGCAGCACAGTTCTAGCTTATTAGTGCTATGGGTGTAGTAGTACATATTTATTCCTAATTTGGGCTCTGTCTAGGAGAAATTATCCATGGGGAAGGTCAGCCTGATGAACAAGGCCAAAAATAAAACCTTGTGCCAGGGAGTTGCAGAGCAGCCTGGGAGATGAGAGTTCATGTCCTTGACCCAGCCTGTGCAATACAGTCTTTAGCATCAGGCTTCCCTCTTTTTTGATGTTGGAATACACGGACCCTTTTTATTAATTGGTATATTAAAACTGAGTTCTCTTTTCTTACTGGAAATTAAGATAGAAGGAAAGTAGAATACAGGTGGTTAAATTCTGAATCCCACTAAATGCTGCTTACACTGGGACTGAATAAGAGAGAGAAAACAAGAATTATGATTTGTCTGGAGCAGTGGACCACTAGAAGAAACCACACATGGAGATCTATAAACTATTTTTGTTACCCTTGCTGCCAGTTATTATTTATCAAGGAAGAAACCATCAGCCAGGGCTCAGTGAACTGGTACGTCAGTGAGATGCACCCCAGCTGGGGAAGCACTGCTAGGGAACACCAGGGAACGTTCCGCTAAGCTGATTGCATTTGTTGTGCATGTAGTCTATGGCAGCTCCTGAAAAAAGGCAGCAGGATTTGCCCATATGAAGCCGGTTCCACGAGAAGAAATCCTTCATAGAAGGAGAGGGATGAGGTTTGTGGAACGACAATGACAGGATGAGTAGCAAGTGTTTATTTAGTTGGCTTTTTTTAGTATTCAGTACATTGTAAGCGGTTAGCTGTGGGCTTCTAGAAATGACTTTACTATTTCTGTATGGAAAAATTTCTTTAGTCTAATAGACAACAGCCAGTATGCATTTTTTTAATTATTATTTTTTGTGACAGGCGAACGTAATGCTAGGTTTGAGACATTCTCCTTTCAACATGCAGAACCGGACTCCCATAGCAGTTTTGCTGCCGGGACCAATGTCAATGCAATGACTAGGCCCTCTCACAGCACTTCATCACAGGTAAACCAAAAACATGCCACTGTCTTAACTGAAATACCAAAGGAGAGTCGTGCCAATTAATAATCCAAAACCACATGCCTTTTACATCTAATTTACTGTTAAATTACAGTACAGAGCATTTTTATAGTGAATTAAGTGGATTATGTTAAGTAATTTATTCCAGATTGAGTATATGGCGTTCCTAAAACAGATACTTGGCTTGTAAAAAAAATTTTGCAGATCGTATAACTGGAGCGTAAGTTTAGTTTATTGGCATTGGGCCTTTCATTTGGGTTTTTTTTTTATTATTATTTTATTTTTTTTCCCAATTTCATGAAATATACTGTGATTTATGTTCCGAATTTTACACAAGGGCTCTTATGACCCTTTTTTCTTGGTGCAGCTGCATAAAATGGCCTCACGGTGCACATACAGTCACAGAATTTATTAACTCCCAGCTTTGCTGCTTAAAAGCTTTTGTGCAGAACTACAGGCAAAGTCTCTGGTATATAAATTTTCTGAGGAGCAGCAGAGCTCCGGTTCAGTGAGGTCCCTGCAGAAACATGCTTTTTTTTTTTTTTGGAATTCATTGAGAATTTCATTATAATATTCAGATTTCAGTCCCATGGTTCTGTGAAGCCTAGTGGTATACTGGTGCTCTGTAAATCATCACGTTTCAATTTGGTGATGACTCCTGGAGAGCCGAGTTTAAATCTGCTTCCCACACACAGTTTTGACACTCGTCCTTTTTTCCCTTGCTTGAGCAGAACATCATCAAAGAATACCTAAATGAGCGTTTTGGAACAGACTGCTTCCGTTAATGTTCAGCTAAAAATTGAGATTGGAATAATACGGAATGTATCATGATTTAAAACTAAACTCCCTCCTGTAATCGAAGAACTTCAGTTCAGAACCCATGTAGGTTCCATGCGTTAGTGGGCAGAGACCACCACCAGGAATCCTACTGTGATCACGCCAAAGAAATTCAGTTTCTGTCTTTTGCACATCTTTCAGAAAACCGCTTTCCATGTAGGCTGTTCTTTGCTCCTAAATGTAGCTTCATTCTTTTGGAATTCCTAATTGTATCACACTGAAGAACCACTTGGGTCATGGGTTAGTAGACAATTATAGAAGGTCATCTTTGTAGACTGAACATTATGAAGAAGGCAGCATTAACTTCAAAGCTCTAACAAGTATTCAGAATTAACTGTAACTGAAATCAAGGAAGGGAAACATCCACTGATTTCAGTATGAGTTATGCCAGCAAGAAGTAAATCTCTGAGATGAGATAGTGTTAAGATTTGTTGAGATTCCGTTGGGGCAGGGGGAAGTCAGAGGTCATTAAGCCACTAGAAAATGTGTTAAAATTGCAGACTTTCTCCTCATGCAGTCCTCATGTTTCTCAGCTAATGTGTAGTTCCTACGATTTGAGCTGATGACTCTCATTTTGTATTGATTATGTTATACAGCATAACGCCAGAAGGAGGTTGAGAAGTGAGAGCTCCTATGATATAGACAACATTGTTATTCCAATGTCGCTGGTGGCACCATCAAAGTTGGAGAAACTACAGTACAAAGAAATCCTTACCCCAAGGTTTGTTCATGACCTCCTTAGTTGGAAAGAAGGTACCAAAACGAACATGAGAACGTTAGCTAAGAATATCATTAAGATGTAGTTAGATAATTTTATAATACTAAGATGATCTTTTAATGTACTCGGGGGTCTTTTCTGTGCACTTCAGTTTGTGTGACTGGAGCGGTGGGAAGAGTGGACAGCTGATAGCACAAGGGAAGTAGTCCGATACACACAGGGAGGTGGCAATTGCACAGCCTGGCTAAAAATAGAAGTGGGGTTATATCATCTTAATTATAGTGATATTTGTGGCCTTCAATGTGCCATAAGGCTGACAGGCTCTGAATGGTTATTTGGAGGTTGCTGTCCTTTTTGTGTGTTTTGGTTCTACTTTCAGTCAATTAAAGAGAAATTGTTTTAGCATGTATTTTTAAAATTTATCCATTCTGATACAATAAATAAGCTTATTTTTTTTCCATACAGTGTAAACCTATAATCCATGATTCTAGAGACATGTGTGTGTGTCTCTCTCCTTTTTTTTTGTTGTGTTTTTTTTTTGTTTTTGTTAAGACAAAGAACATCTTTAGATTGCTAAAATGGGATAATTGATCTCCTGTGCTGTAATTCAGTGGCTTACTAGCAGATTGCCTGAAATGGCTAAATGGCTAAATGCAGCTGTTCCATACTTGCTTTTATATTGTCTTTAAAGCTAAAAAAATATTATTAAGACTATTGGATAGCTTAAACTGTGTTGGGAAAAGGAAGGATATTGGGTTGGAAAAGGAAAATCTAAATTTCACGTATCTGGTATCAGCAGCCTAAATTTGAAATTATTTTCTCTGAAAGAAATTTTGAAGCACAAGCAGTGTTGAAGAAGGAGTAACTAACATGGTAGTATAAAAACAGAAGAGTCATCTTTATTGCTGAAATAATGAAAGAGCACTTAGGTAAATTAATTTAACTGTTCTTGTCTCATTTCTAGTTGGAGAGTTGTTGAATTTCAACCTTTAGAAAGATCTCATACAGATGAAGAAGAGGTAGGCTGTATTTTAATTAAACCATCAGTTTTTAGTTAAAGTAGATATCGTATAGAATTGGGATAATCGGTACGTATTTTCCAAAGTCACTAACTTCATGCAAATCCTGGTAAGTTTCAAATTTCAAAAAATAAAGTATTGGACTGTGAAAATGTGTCTTATCCCAACCTGCTTGACCCAATAGCGGATGACAGAAATGTATCTCCATTAATAATCATTGTTCACTTGTTCGTTTGGCTGCTTCTGTCCCTCACTGCTGGCCCAGTCAGTGTTTCCAAAGGGTCCCTTTGGTCAAGCTTCCACTGCCCCTGCTCCTGGGCACCGTGATGCCAGGTCTCCCAGTGCGACTGTCTCCTCGGGGCAACCTGTGCGATAACCTTTTGCCCTTCTCTCTCATCCTCTTCTTCGACAGTCAGTTCCCATGGCGTGTTGCTCTTCAGGAGGTAATTTGGCATTTTGCCTGTGGGCCCAGCAGGTTTCCTCAGTTTTCTTCTTGGTGTTCATTTTCCTGCAGCCCTCCTGTGGGGAGTAAACTTTTCTTCTTTCTGCTTTGTCAGGAACAACATAAACTTCAGCATTTCCTGCTTGCTTCTCGAGCTAAGTTTGCACATTGTGTTGGGGAACAACACACTGTTGCTTCCTCCAGACATAGGAATCTACCTTTTTCTTCCAGGGAATGTCTGTGGGCTTTGCAGCTGGGGGGTCCATTTCTCTCCCCTAATTGGGAGTTTGAAGGCATTTCCTAACCCTAGTGTGAACGTCTGGTCTCTAGGTTTGGTCCTTAGGCTGGTTTTATGTCCTTCCGGTCTTTTTGTGGCTCCTTTTCCAGAAACCTGCCAGTTTTGCTGTCCTTTGGACATCTCAAATCGCCCTCCAGTCTCTGCTGTAGGCTGCTACCCACTGTTGTAACTGTAGGACGTGCATTCGTACCTTCATCCACAGTATCTGTTCTTGAGCTCCTTTTTTGAAGAATCTCTACGAGCAGGGTTTAGGTGCCTCAGTGGTAGAAAAAGATTGCATTTGGGTAGCAGTACAGAAGGTTATGCTAAACACGGTAAACAAATCATTATGCCACTCGTGGGGGTAGAAAATACAGCCTCCATAAAGGCACTAGCTTCCTCAGAGTTTTACTAGGCCTGTAGCTGCCTGCTTCTCGGAAATGAACCTTTCCTTTCAGAAAGCATCATGGTCTCAGATCCCTGCCTGGTGCAGTTGCACTCATTTGGAACCATACTTTTGGGTCAGAAGGAAGAGAAAAACTTATCCTGTCTCTGCCTTTTCTCGTGCACTTGAGAAATTTTTGTGAAATGTGGTGGTCAGACTTATGTCACCTCCACTACCGCCTTTTGGTTTGGTACCGTCTCTGCTAGCAAGAAGGATGCCTGATCTTCTTTTACAGTGAGAAGGTCAAATTACAGACATAGGAGAACTCTCCTGCAAGGATATTTAATTAAAGCATTTGGAGAATAACTAATAAGGCAGCAAGGGCGTGCTGTCTCTTGAGAATCTACTGTTCATTGCCCTCTCTTCATCCTGGTATCTGGGGGGTAAAAAAGGAGTTTCAATAGCGATTTGCCTTCAGAGCTTCAAGGTTTTTCTTGTTTAGGTTTCAGATCCCATACAGATGACTTGTCTTACATACTTTCAGCATATTTTGCTGAAGTGACTTCAAGGTGTCTCTCTGTGGAGCTCATGGGCTAATTGTTCATTTAGTAGCCCTCCCAGTCCATTTGTATTTGGCATGACTAGCTGATCCTGTATGATTCATCCTTTGGCCAGGAAATAACTTGAGTTAACAATAAAGCAGCTTTGCCTCCTGCTGTGGTCCACTGCTTCTGTATCGTCTGTCAGCTGCTGGGTAGAATGAGAGAGGAGAGATGTCAGACAAGAGGAAAAATGCTAAAGTTCTTTGTCTAAATCGTCCTTTGCCAGTTTTCCCCCTTTCTTTTGGAATTGTGTTAATTGGTTTGGATGTTTTTCAGAGTACTAAGAAAAGGTGGTTGTCTGATCATAATTCTTCCACTTCCTTGCTTTAGGTTTTAAGCTAAGTTGGATTTGTTAGTAAGCTTGAGAAAAGACATGAGAAAACAGCAGCATTACCTTTTTGCATTTTCTGTACTCACACTCTGACACTCTTGAAATTGTTCCTTGTACTGAAATTTAAGGCAAACTTCAGTACAATCATTCGTGAAGGACAACAAAGAGGGCAAAATGTGCTTTCCGCTTTTATATAAAGTAAGCTGCTGCTTTGCTTTTTCCACTGCATAGCAGCCTGTGGTGGGATGGTATAATGGTTTCTTTGCTGCCTATCTTCTGCATAACTAAATCTAAAACTCCTGGAGTTGTCCTTGTGTCATCCAGCAGTTAGGGATTTCTTCCACTTGGTATCTCCCTCCCCGTGCGCCGCCCCCCCCCGCAGTTTTTCCCCCCCCTTTCTCTCTCCATTTAAAGGCTTTCAATGCAACAACCTGTATCCATGCAATAAACTTGCAGCCAAAGTTTCTACAAGTTACAAAAAAACGTGTGGTCCCTAATTTGTCATGTTCTACAGGAGCCACACTCAAAGGATGGAAACTCAGCACTTTCTGAAAATCAGGCCTAGTCACCGTGCCTTTATTTGAGTACAGAAAGCTTACCTTTTTTGGGTGCCTAATTTTTGTTTCTGGACATTTTGCCTTACAAGGACAACCATAACAGTTGGGCAATGCAAAAGTTAATCTACTATCTATGTCTGCTCTGTCACTTGCTCTAAAAATACTTAGTTTTTTGAAACAGAGCGTTTGAGTTTCCTGGTTTGCATGTATGCATTTGCAGTCTGTTACTGCCTGAAGGCATGGGAGGGTGTGGCACGGGTTTTCCTGTTTTATTTTGTTTTTAATTTGTTTTGTCCAGGTTCATGTTTCTGGCAAGGCATGGTTGTAAAGTAATGTTCAAGTTTATTTTGTAGTTGTTTTAGTAATAACATATACTTCAGAATAATTCTGTTTGTAATTCGTTTTGCATAAGTGTTCTCATGGCTTATGACTCAGTGTTTCCCAGGAAGCCAAAGACTTGAAACACAGACTTTGTTGTTTGGAGAACCTTTCAGAAATATTCCTGGTGCTATTCAACATTAATGCACGGTGTCTTGTAGCTTAACTAGATGTGACGGGGGGATACAAATCTTAAGTTTGCTTTAAGTCTGTTTCTTTGAGTGAGATCATTAGCCGTGCCTCACAAACAGGCCTTCCCAACAGTCTTTCCTCTCAACATCACTGCCAGGTCCATCCACTAAGGAATGACAGTTCTTCTGTCCTTTTTCAAACTAACCTTAGTAGAGGGGGGAAATACCAAATTTCTCCAGTTACAGCAACCTCAAATTCACCTAAAGTCGGTGGAAGAAATACATAAAGTGTTAAAAAGCTGGAGAGGGTCAGAGGTTGTACTGAACCAAGCAGAGACCTTTTACTCTGGTTGTAATGTGATATTATCGATAGAACAAAGAATAATTTTTAAATAAGAAAATGTATTACTTGTTAGTCTTGAGTGGAATAGGGTAACACTCATTGTAAATAAAGAAGTAGTTAAATCTGCTATCATCAGCTATGCAAAAGAAACAGTAAAGCTTCTTTCTGTATTTTTCAAAACTTTTCGCTTGGAGAAGAATGTGGACTTTGATTTTTGAAAGGAAGCTTGTTAAAAATGAAGTTTCTTCCCAGCATGAAAGGTTTTGGCAATTTGCTAAGAAAAGTATTTTCAAAGTGTGAGTTTTTTCTTTCAAAATTATCTTTTGTTTCCACTTCAAAGGAAATCTGAGCACACAGAAAAATCCTCAATTTTCCCTGAGGGAATAGCACTTTTGTAGTTCATAAAATTCTCACTTTCACGCTATACATCACTGACCTTGGAAAGACAGAATCTGAACTGAGATGCAGCCCCGTACTGATGCCATGCAAGTGACAGAGCTGGTGAATTCCAGAGAGGAGGAAACCCATTAAGTTGGCTTGCATGAAAGGAAACCAGCAGCTAACAAAGTGGTTTGTGTTTAACATAAATAAATAAGAGCAATGAGAGTCTTCAAAAAGCAGTCATGAGATGGGCAAACAAAGCAGGCCTGTTTGTCTGAAGGTTCCTGTTGAGTGCTGGGCTGAGGAGGAATGGGGCAGCTACAGTTTTAAACAAGCGGGTCGTGTGGCCGTTTCAGATTGTGCCGAAGTCTTTGGGATCCTTTTCATTGGCCCGTTAAAATGTCATTGTGAGGCTGTGGTTCGTGACCAGCCGCCTAGGTTGGAAATGTGCTCTCTGGCAAGCTGAGTGCCACTACCAGGTGTGCTTACAGACGCAGAAATGCATTGTAATACTTTGCATTTGTACCCATAATGGTCACGAACTACCTCGGTGCTCCAAGGCTTGATACAAAGAATGGCTTCTGCAGAAAAATCTCAGGGCTGTTAGTGGTCTGCAGTGCAGTACTTCCAGCTGACAGAGTAAACTATATTGTATGGCTCTATCTGGCACTGTAGCGAGGACTCTGCGGTTAGTTCTGGATTTTATCAGACTCAGTCGGCAGATAAATGGTGTTACACAAGTAACACCGCTGAGGATTCTGCTTTATTAAAAAAAAAAAAAAAAATCGATTTATCTTCCATGACCCCGTGATTATTGGTATAGTTCTTGTCCAGGACTGATCTGGCAGTGCATTTTCACAGCTTCTATGACCAGGAACTGTTCTTTCCTAGAATTTCTCCGCTTTTGAGTTGGGAGTGGCTGGCATAAAATCCATGGCTGCAGCACTCGCATGTTCTCACCCCCCTTGGCTTTTTAGGTGAACTTTGAAGAGGTTGAATGGTTTGGAGCACTTTGAAATAACTCTGAGCTGTGCTGGAGGGGTCCAGCCAAGAGTGCTTCCCACAGAAAAATGAAGATGGCTCTTTCAAAGTGAAGGTCAGATGTGATAGCTACAGCTGAGGAGTTCCACTTGGAGACCTGGCTCTTGACTACAAGCAGTTAAAGTACTTGCATTAGGGCCGTTTTTAAGCTGTAGCAGGGTCATGCAAATCATTTGCTAAAAAATAATCTCTTCAAAGCAGAAACCATTTTCTGCTT